TTTTATGTCATCTTTGGAGAACTGTCTATTCAGATCTTTTGCCTATTTTTAAATCAGATTGTTTTTCCACTATTGAGTTATGTGAATTCTTCATAAATTTTGAATATTAACTCCTTATTAGATATATGGCTTGAAAATACTTTTTCCCAATCCATAGGCTGCCATTTCATTTTGTTTCTTTTGCTGTACAGAAACTTTTTAGTTTGTTGTAGTCCTGTTTGTTTATTTTTGCCTTTGTAGCCTGAGCTTTTGGTAGGATATCTGAAAATTATTGCCAAGAGTAGACCAATATCCAGTGTTTCCTTTGTTTTCTTCTAGGAGTTGTATAGTTTCTGGTCTCACATTTAGATCTTTTATCCATTTTAAGTTGATTTTTATATATGGTATAAGACAAGGGTCCAATTTAATTGTCTTGGTAATTCTTCTCATGCAAGGCTTGTGCAGGCAGGTTTTCCTTGAGTGTTTATGTCCTTTTTGACATCCTTAGTTGAGTATCTTGTTTAGCTGATCAAATAACTATAAACAACCCCACCTAAAATTACAGATTAAATTAAATGATTTCAGAGTAAGGTGTTGATAGCACACCTTTTTCAAGACAAGTGAAAGTGTATGAAGAAAAAATCTGAGACTGGAATAGAACTTGAAAGTTAATTCCACATTTAGTTTTGAATTTATAAAAATTGGAAGCTTTCTTATATGATGTTAAATAGAAAATACAATGTTAGAAGATGTGTTAGTGCCTTCTTGTTTGAGACTCACTAAATTTTGGGAAAGTGAATATACTACAAAAATACAAGCTAATTAATTGCAGCATTACATAACAACACAAAAATACAGTTTGTCAGCTTTATTTTCAACCCTAAACTGACATTTCTTGGAATGCTTTTGCTAACAATTATGAAGCCTCCTATGTGGCAGGATTGAAAATGGCATTTTAAAATTAATTTTATACTCAAGAAACAGGTTTAACATTAGAAAAACTGTAGTAGTGGTTTATGATTTTTTCTTTATGATTTCAGGAAATTAAAGGAACTGAGTTTAAGGGGGTTCCAATAAGTTATTTGGAGGTTCATCCCAATGGAAAACGTTTGTTAATCCATACCAAAGACAGTACTTTGAGAATTATGGATCTCCGGATGTAAGTATATTTCAGTATTGACAGGATGAGTACCCACAGAATAAGGAATGAATTAAATCGTATTTATAAAATGCAGCAATGGTTCTCAGGCAATTTTGCCTCCTCTGGGGACATCTGGTAGTATCTGGAGACATTTTTGATGTTGCTTGTATTATCTAATGGGTAAAGAAAAGATACTGCTAAACATACTACAGCTCATAGGATAACCCCCCCAAAATGAAGAATTATATGGCCCAAAATATGAATAGTTCTGACACTGAAATGTAGTCAGTTGCTTTTATATTCACAATTAAAAGGAAGAAACTAATATTTTCAACAGTGATACTGATAGTATCTCTATGATACTGATATAGTATTATGATATAATATCATAACTGAAGGAGAGGGCTTTTGATTAATACATCCCTATTTTTCTTACTTGTTTTGTTTCTAAATAAAGGCAAATGTAGAGAAATATCCGTAATGTAAAAGGCAGAAGCAGAGTCCTGGGAAAACCAGCATGGACTTGTAGTGTGCTTTTTGTTTTGATGTAAAGAGTTCCTATAAAACAAATAAGAGAAAGCTATTTTATCAGATTTTTAAATTGTATTTAGAAAGGCTAATGTGGTGATTTATATTAGTTTAATTCTGTAAGTATCTTTTTAGGGTTAACTATTAAGCCCTTCAATATTTATGTAGAACGATTCAAGACACTGGCATGGGTGTTGTGGGAGAATGATAAGCAGGATTACGCTATCAGTTTATCATCTAGTTACATACCTTCAATATAAAACAAAAACATTTAATTAGGTTAAAATGTAAGCTCTTGTATGACTGGAAGTTGCTTATTCTTTTCTCTATACATATCATCCATGCCACGCCTGGCAGATAATA